ACAGTATTCTTTAATTTGAGCTATGACTTCTGGGACAAAATGAGCATATTTTTACATATTTGTACAGAAAATGAAGCTAAGAGAAAGTGCACCACTTCATTTTTCTCTGTGAAGCATGTACTGAGAATGAAACACTTGAAGTGTTTCTGGTTTCTTCAAAGGAACAGTGTAACAAAAAAGCAAGCACTAGAAATATGAAGAAATATGATAAATCAACCAATTGAGACACTGTTTTTTTTTTACACACTGCTCTAATTAAACAAATAGAATTTCACTGCCGGAAAACACTTTTGTTGATCTGTGTTCAACGTCTGTCCCAATATACATAAAGTTTATAGAAACTGACGTTTGTTATTTCTATGTGGTAGAAACTTTTTATAAATTGGTGATGGTTTTGCCTGCAGTTATTGCATACTTTGGTATTTTTGTATGTTTTATACCCAGTTTTTCAGGTCAAAAGAGGAGCCGTCTGCCTATGTACGTACTTGCACATGATGGGTGACACTTTTAATCGGCTTTGATATTTTAAAAGTTACTGCCATACATTTGCTGCAGGTTGCTAAGAATTCACATCATAAGGGGGAATATTTCCTCTGCAATGAGTGGCACCATCCAGAATCAATATCAAAAGTTAAAAAGTGTATAATACATAATGTATAGAAAATAACTACCTATCATTTTCAATAATACATATGATTTGATGAGGATTTATTGGATGACTGATTTTCCGTGAAATTTACTGTAATACTTTGCGAAGAAATACTTTGATGTGCATTGGTAAAGCCCATTGGCACAAACGAAAGAAGAAATGATTAAACCAGGTGAATAGTGTACATCATCAATGATAATTATCCTACACATAGGATATAAGTCCTTCCATCTAACCTGGTTAATGTTTGCACAAAATGAGGAAATTGAGGGAGTTTTCCACTGCAGGTAAAATATTAAATTCAGTTTTTACGTTTTTGACAGAACCTCCAACTTTTTGATGAAGATGTAATTTTTTTTCAAGATCATGAAATTAATAAACGTAGGCTAACATTTGGGCAATAGTTGCTGTTAAACAACTCACCTTGATCAAATAATTATTGTGAACAAAATAAATAAACTTGTGCAACTGTAATAAAGCCCAACCCCAATTGTGAATTACCCTTTTGAGTAAGATCCTTGCCAATCATTCCGCCACTCAGACAGAAATCTAATTAGAGCAGAGTATCAACATTGAAGCCCATAACCCGCCCCCCTCTTCCCTCTCTCCCTCTCTTTGTTTCAGTGCTCTCCCCACAGCTGGTGAGAGTATGGTTTGTGGCTGCCCCTCCCCCAGCATTTGAACGAGCCAATAAGAGAGCATGTCAGCAAAATGACCCCCCCTCCTCTCCTCTTCCACACCATCCCTCGTTTTCCCAAACCACCTTATCCATTCCCAATCCCATCCCCCAGAGTCCTCAATACAACCATCCCCCTTTCCAACCCACCCCTAACCCACTTACTCATCATCCCTCCACCCTCCCACACACCCACGAGACATCTCCACCCTCTACTTTCTCACCCGTGGCTCACCCTCCCTAGTAACTACTCCCCCTGTTCCTCCTCTCTGCTCCTCTTGCTCTTCATCCCACTCACCCGCCTTCTCGGACAGACTTCCTCCACTCCTTTTCTGGGCCTGCTGCTTAATTTCACTCTCTTATTATTATTTTTCTCCTCCCCCTCTCTAATGTTCTTTTCTTTTCTTCCATCATCCTTCTATCCCTTCTCCCCCTCTGTCTTATGTGGCCTTATCTTATAAATATCGGTAGCACACTGGGTGAAAAATTGATCCTCCCCGCCTGTCTGTGGACGCTGCCACAGCGCATTAGCCCACATGTGATTGTGTGTGTGTGTGTGTGTGTGTGTGTGTGCGTGTGGGTGTGGAGGCTTGTGAGAGAGAAAGGGAGGGGTAAGAGGAAGGAGGGTGGGAGGGATATTTGCATATCATCAAAGTAGAAAAAGGGAGTGTAATGAGGAGAGAGGAGTGTGTGTCTGTTGGCCGTATGAGTGTTATGAGTGGTGTTGATAGGTTGAGAGTGTGTGAAAACAAGACCATGGGAACATCTTCACATGCAATCCTTCCTATATTCAGGCAAACATGCAGAGACCATCAATATTACAAGCACATTTAAAAAGAAAAGTCAAACATTTAGGTAAAAATGTATTTAGTTTAGGTTACTAAAAATGCTCATATATGTTTTCCATTCATTATGCACTGATTGATGCACTTTTAACATATGTCTTCCACTTACTGATTATTATGGTTTACTGCTAACAAAAAACAAACAAATAAACTCTTAAATATTAAACCTGATCACCACATGCAACAGAGAACACTTCAGTTTTAGGAAGATTGAGTACACAACCAATTTAAGGGTTTGGGGAGAATCTGGAGTTAGTGCTTTAACAGGCACAGAGAGGATCCAGGATATATGCTTTAAATGTCTTACTTCTTATGCTACAGTTTTTAGTTTTGTTTTGTGGTAATTATGGTAATTGAGGCACAATAGCATTTGCAATATAATTGGAATTAAACAGGAGGCAATTTTCAAATTGAGGGACTCAATTTTAGTCTCTCTAAACTTTACAGTTAACTAGAATAGGACAACACATTTCTAACTCCATCTCTTAAGTTGGTGGTTGTATACTTAAATTGAGTTTGTCGCCACACAGAAGAGAAGCGACAGTTGCAGCTAGCATGCAAATCCATGCATGCAAATAGAAATAAGGACTTTTTTCCCACATAGTTACAGTAAAGTCCTGTAACTATGGAGTCCAGCCGGCGCCAATGAAGTCCGAATCAGGAAATACTGATGTCCATAGCCAACACTAGAAACTATATGGTTGCCAACAATCTTTTGTGTGACAGTTCATATAGGCAAAACCCACTTCACTAAGTTAAACAAAAAAAGATTTTTCTTGACTGATGTAACAGGTGTGTTACACCTGCAAATATACACACAGAAAGTTTAATGGAAAAAAAAGCACAATTTGAGCATTTTCTGTACTCAGGTAAAAGTTGAAAATAGTCATCCAAGAATTTACTTAAGAGTAAAAAGGTACTTTGTAGAATCAGTACTCAGTATTAAGTAACTGATGGTCCATAACAGCTGGTTTAATGTTAAAAAATAATATAATCAGTTAATAATGTCTGAGTCATGCATAAATTATAGTATTTCAAAGTATAAAATAAAATAAAAAAACATAAAAAAGAAATAACACAATTACACAAAAAACAAAACAATTTCACCTGATCTCCAAATCAACTTACCGGTACTCATGGTAGGTAGAGTAACCAGAAATGTTCCTTAAGAAAAACAACACAAGAATTTTACATAAGTAAAAAGTAAGGTAAATTAAAACTACGCCAACAAGCAGATTCTTTTCTTCAAATTTATTCAAGTAAATATAACTGAGTAAATGTAACTAGTTACCACCCACCTCTGTGTCTTAACTTCACACTGCCATCAACAAGGAACTTTAAGAGTATCGCACTTCCGTCTGCTAAGAATGGTCATGGAGATTGTAATTTAATTTCTAGCAAGACTGAAAACCTCCTCTGACTGCCAAAAGAACCGATACCTGATTAGAGTTTTTGATTGACCTGCAAACTGGCTGGACCTAAACCCCATAGGAAATCTATAAGGTAATGTCAAGATCAAGATGAGACACCAGACCAAGCAATAAAGATAACCCCCAGGCTGCAATCAAAGCAGCACAGGCTCCTTTAACACATAACTGGAGTCCTGATCATCACCATGTCACGTCACGTTGATGCAGTATTTCATTCAAAAGGAGTCTCTCTAAGTGTATATTGTATCAAAATATATTAAAGTGTAGATGATTTGATAAATTACATGATATAAATTATTTGTTTTCCTCCATGGTAATGCATTTAATTATTATATAAATGCATCAAATGCATGAGAGCCTAAGATTAAGAAAGCAATTTATGTATTATTAGAGCAACCTGTTATACAAAACCCAGAAATAGTAGCTAAAGAATGAGAAAAATTAGCATAAAAATGCAAATGATCTTGTCATCTAATTTAGCAGATTCATTTGTTTTATAAAATAATACATCATATAATTGGCTATCTATTTCCAAAATCAACTAGCAATACTACTATAGTATATAATAGTACATTATTGTATTATTTTGATATCCGGTCATTGTTGGATGAAAAAATATCCCTGATCTGGATACAATCACCAGTGTTTAAAAATCCCAAGTGTTAAATAAAAGTACATTTTGCCAACACTTCCCATTGGCTTGTTATGTTCAGTCTATTGCGAAGTGTTTCACACCCGACGTTTTGCTTGCACAGCAAATATTTATTTCGAGGCGAACTTTCGGCTCCAGAGGAAACAGCTGCAATGAGTAGGCTCCGCATTTGTAAATAAATAATTTAAAGCTCCTTTTAGTCAGCCTCGCTGCTATCCCCAGCGTCTGATTTAACAGGGAAGATAAATCAAGTACCGAACTCACACTCGAGAGTTTATACGTAAATAAGGGACTGAAAAATATATGTGGCAAAAAAACAGGAGTAAAAAAGACACATAAGATGTGAGTTTACTTTCTTTCTCAAGGTAGAAATAAAAAAATATACTTATTTTTGTGAAAGAGACTTCAAACGCGATCGCTTTGACTGCCATCGATTGATCGAGTCTGGTGCAAACTGACTTGAGCCTTGACGGTCTGTCACATTTCACACTGGGCTCGTGCGCTCACATTCACACGGCTCACAATAATATCGACAGATAGGAGGACGGCGGAGGGGAGTCCGCTGAAGGTACGACTTTTTTGTTTGTTAAATTACCTACACGGGGAAGACGAAACAAACCTGGATTCAGTTGTATTCATCGAGACGGGCTTATCTCTTTAGACCGTGTTAATTTTAGACCCGGTTCTTTCTTTCTAATTCTAGATTCACCACTTTTTTTTTCTTCTTTCCCCAATCTTTCTCTCTCAGCCCTTCGCAATCTTCTCATCTGGGGTACACGCTACCACCCGGCAGGCTCAACCTCACGCAAACAAACCGACTAAACGTTTTTAGGTTCATTATTCTAGAGGTTTGCTACCAGTAGCCGGACATTTTAAGGGGATTTGCGGCGTGGGTGGTTAGCAACGGGTTTTTTTTCTCTCTTGTGTCGGTCGCTGCTGGAGGAGGAGGGGCTGGTTGGCTGGTGAGGCTTGCCAAGCTAGCGAGCGGCGCTACGCAGACTGGCTAAACAAGTTTAAAAAGGTGGGTAAAGTTAATGGAAACTAGTTTCGGGACTAAATGAGAAGGTGGAACAGAGATACGGCGCTGTTGTTACGCCGGTTTGAACATCGAGCTATCCTTCTCTGTCTCTGCGCACTAACGTTAGCATCTCCTCCATTAGCCTCCCCAGAAGTTTCACTCTGTTCGAGTTAACGTTACTAGTTAGCCATTAAATCAGGGTTTGTTCACAGCCTCCGTTCCTTAATGCCTTATAATTAAATGTACCATTAAGAATTTTCTCAGAATCTTGAGTTGAACGGATGTGGGGGTTTAGCGTTAGTTGTTGAACCAGTTCTAACAGATTTTGTTGTTGTTGTTGTTTTCAGAGGATAAACATTTTTACTCGAGGCGACTTTCAACTAAGCTTCCACTTGTTTAAAAGAGCTTCGTTTCAACTTCTTTCAGTCTCTTACTTTTTTCCCCTCAACAGATTCGTTAAGCTGCTGCTGTGAGGGGGGGGAAACGAGAGAAAAGGTTAAAAAAAAAAAAGAAAGAAAAAGAAGTAGAGGAAATCCCCCGAAAGGAAATGCCAATCGCAGCCGCTGGACAGCCAACGACCCAGGAGCCCAGAATCTGCCCCCGGCTGCCCTCCTCCCCGGAGCCTGTCCCTAAAGGGGCTGATTTATTCGAAGAGGCGGGGGCGGCGGGATCGGCGGAGCGTACAGAGTACGGGGCCGCCGAGGGGGGCCGATTGGGGCTGGGGGGCTTCGGTTTCAGCCACAGCGGCGCTAGGAGCTTTGCACAGCCCGGATCCACCAGCGGCTCTCCGCCGCAGTCTCCTGCCGCCTCCCCCTCCTCCCCTTTCCTCCTCCATCTCTCTCACCCGCACCAAATGGCTATGGAGCCTCCACGGACTAGATCGCGCTCTCGGTCTGGATACTTCCAGCAGTACGGTGTTGGAAGTAACAACAGCGGAGTGACAGTGTCCAGCCCCCATCTCCACCACCACCTCCAGCAGCAGCAGGTCGGTCACCAAGAGAACCAGCAGAGAGCTCCAGGAAGCAACGCCTCCCCCGGTATTCACAGACTCCCCTCCGTGCCAGGAGTTCACCACGTCCCGATGGCAGGTAAGGATCCATACCTGACATTATCAGCCAAAAAAGGAGAGAGAGAAGTCTCCTATTTAATTGCACTTTTGTTTTCATAGAGCCTCTCCCTTACAGGGATGCGGGGGGGTTTGTGTAGAAGCAAACTGAAACTGTAGGGCTGGGATGGCATTACTGTTTGCTTATGTGTGAAATACGTTTGATGGAGTGTTACATGCGCTGGCCTGGGTGGTGCAAAGTTAACACTTATTCAGTAGTTTAATGAAAATCAGCAGTGTGTTGTTGGTGTGTGGAAAGGGGCAGCCTGAAGCCAACAGAGCAGCAGAGAATAGGCTGGAAAGCTCACTTTGTTACTTAAGGCGTAGTGGCAACTCCAGGTTTAGTCAATTCTGCAAATATTGCTATTGCTAGGTAACAGTGGGTAAAGTTTGTCCAAAGAATGCATGAGGCTGTCCCCTTTATGTGGAACCAGATTAGGGTATGTGCTTTGTAATGTCATTTTTTTCTTCCTAAACATAACTTGCCAGTTCATACATTTTTATGTATGTTATTTTTTTTTTATCTAAAAGTTAATAAAATGTTGTTGTTTTTTTTAAATGACTTTTTTGCAACACAATACAATAAAAAAAAAAAGACTTGAAGTTTATGTCAGCCCTGTGTGGCGTTATGTTTTTACCCGCAACTAAATGGGTAACCTATGTTTTGACTTTTTTTTATTTTGAGTGCACATGCAGGGTCACTCACACAGCAATTGGAGTGCATCAAACTATATCTCTGAAGTGTTGGTTAATGATTTTTGTTTGGTTGTTTTTGCTCCGAAAAGAACATTTTCTAATTGTTTGCATAGGAGTTTGGTGAGGACCTAAATCATAGTGCTTTGGCAGGTTATTTATTAGGGGTTAGTATTGGCATCAGTGTTGCAATACGATGTGTCAGGATACTTAGGTTAGAATACAATATTATCACGATATTGGAATATCACTATATATTGCAATATTTTTCATAGCTATCAAAATTAAATTTATAAATATAAAAGAAAGAGCAGTATATGTTCATCAGAAGATATTGATCATTTAGTTATTTTTGTATATATTTGGGGTTTGAGTCAGTCCACTTCTTCTACTGTGACTGACTCAACTACAAATATGGAGCTGTGGCGCACAGCAAAAGGGCTTCACAGCGCTATCTGACAGTGGAGGTTAGGGGTGGGTATTGCCAAAGAAGTCATGATTCGATTCGAATCACGATTCACAGGCCACGATGCGATTCTATCACGATGCATCACGATACTTGAATTATTGCGATGCATTGCAATATTTTCTCCTCCATGTTTTGTTTTTGAATGACTCGGCACAGTATCCCACGGCCGGAAATGCTTGTGACACAAGGCAGCGTGCGTCAACACATTTGCAGCGACATCTACTGGACTGGAAGTGGTATTGCACTTGTTTTTGGCTGATGTTCGCCAACCATTCATGCAATTTTATTTATTCATTTTTTTAAATTAATAATCGATTCTTGGCATCAAGAATCGATGCAGTAGATCACGAAAATTAGAATCACGATGCATCATCATCACGATTATTTTGCACACCCCTAGTGGAGGTGCAGAGGTAGTCAATTTTTCCTCGTTGTTTTAGGTAAAAATGTTAAAATTAGGAACATAAAAATCTATATTAAAGTTTCTCGCTTCTTTTTACAACTAGCAAGCGAACTGATAAACCAAACTGTTCGGGAGGAATGTACAAACATTTTTCCCATCCACAAAGACACAAATTGCTTACTTTACTTTTTTCTTCAAAAAGAAATGGAGGATACACGGCTAAAATCAGTCCAGCCAATTTTGTTCTACTTAACGTAATCTCATTGCATTTCATTGGGCTAAAACATTTCTGTATCGAGGCTAATGCATCTACCGGCTTCTGGCAAGAAGTATTTTGGGAGTTTGAATTCACAAATCTCAAAACAATTCATGTTGCTTGCAAAGGTACCACTGTTCCCAATAAAACGACACATCTTTGAAGTTCCCTATAAACAAAGTCGGCCTGTCTATGATGTATTCAAAAAACCTTGCAGCTTTTAATTGAGACTGGAATTACCAGACCCACAGAGTTTGAGAGGAAACAGCTGAACCAGTTTAAACCAACAGACCCCAGTATAATGGTAACCGATTGCCTGTGAAATTGTTTGTTTCCTTAGAGTGACACTGGAGGAATCAAAAGAAGATTAAAGACTAAGTAGGACTGATAAATTCAGCTAAAGATAGAAATTGAAATTCTTTTTTTCAATTGCACTAGCCACATACTTGTAGATGTTTTACTTCTGGGTTTCATTGCTTTCCTGACCTTGAAAGCTTGTCCTGAGTTCATTGTCACAGGACTTTACTGTTATTGTTTGGTAGAGAGAAAAAAAAGGTTATTTCTACTCATGCATGGATTTGCATGCTAGCTGTTACTTTTTTCCCTTCTGTGTGGAAGCAAACCTACCTTAAGTGCATTGCCTCCACGTAATGGGCGGTGGAGAGAGTCAGTGTCTCACTTTTGTTAAATGTAATGTGACCAAAATTGACTGCCTCTGCTATGTAAAAATTACATTTAGTTAAATTGTGATTTTATGCAAATACAATGGATTATCAAGCCCTAATTTAATTTGGTGAAAGAAACGTAAAAGGTAGCTCTAAAAACCAAAATCTGCATGAAGGGTTGAACTACAGATGTAGTTAATCTGTGACTTAATCCAACATAAACATCTGCAGCATCTAAACCAGGTTACATGCCATTTTCTCCCCTGTTCTCTTAAAATATTTTAATGATCAGCAGAGGGGATGCCACTTGATATTGTAAATGTCGTATTTATCATTTGATTAGGATTCTTTGAAGAGAGGGTAAAAAAAATTATCCTCTTTTTAAATGGGCAAGCAAACATGAAAGCTGTCTGGACTTCTCTATTTAATTCTTTAAACATTTGACTTTTTTATTAGTTCAGTAAGTACTGATATGGCATCAATAAAAAAAAATACTATTTATTTATAATTAATTTCCTCTTTATCTGCTGTAACAGCTACAACAAAAATGATAACAAAAAAGCAGCTGTGAAGATGCTGTCCAGTTTTGCCAACTCGTAAAGAAAAGGCAAACCTCAGTAGGTGAATTTCCAGCTAGTTCTAAAGGGTTTTCTGGGGGACATGGAGGGAAAAGATTTAAAATGGTCAAGTTGAACTGTGACTTAGGCCCCGTCCACACGAAGTCAAAACGAACACGAAACGCTGATATTTTCCAAAACGTTTGCCGTAAAGACGGAGACGTAAAATAAATGTGAGCGTCCACACGAATGCATGAAAACGCTGCAAAATGTATGCCAGGCCTGTAAGTGGCGCTGTGGTGCCAAAGCAAAAATAAGCGACGAAATGTTGGGCATGTGCACTAATATTTATACATGGTTGCCCTGCGGGTCCATTTTCGTGGTTAAGTCAAATTCAGGTGCTGAACTATGTCGTCGATATTGCTCTGTTCTTCCTGAAGATATTCCAGAAGAAGAAGATTCTGTTGTAAGCCGGACAGCAGGGTGAGTAGCATTAGCAACGGCGCCATTGTTGTTGTGATACTGGTCGCGCATGCGTGTGTAGAGGCGACGCTATGACGCATGCGTGTAAAAAAAAATATGCGGTTAGGGCGTAAAGATGGAAACGCGAAAACGGCGTTTCGAAATCTTCCCACTCTGAAGGCTGAATAAAAAAAAGATCGTTTACAGACCCCCGAAACGCCGGCTTCGTGTGGATGAGAGGCTGGTTTGGTGAAAAATTTGTGCGTTTAGGCCAGGGTTCGTCTTCGTGTGGACGGGGCCTTAGTTGTCTTTGCAATATAATTAGAATTTTCCGAAATTGTCTCTAAATGGGTTGAAAATTTTTTTTTGAGGGGAAGTAAGTTAACCAGGTTACATTATGGATGTGGAAAGTGAAGGAGTATAATGGCATATCAATGCATATTTTCAAACTAACACGTTTGGTTCAAGTTGACTTTGTACCCACCAATGAGGAAGTGTGGAATGCAGTGTGGCATGGCATGCATGGTCCTGACTAAAATAATATTTCAAATTGTCTATTTTTTCTTAAATCCCTGAATTTGTTTCAGTGATTTTTCTTTAATCGTATCACCGTCTCGCCAAAATTCATTTTTTCATGAAGGAATTTGTGCAGTTAAGATTCCCTAACTATAAATCTGAAACTTAAATGCATGTAAAACTGTACCTCTAGTTAGCTAATTGAACCTGTTGTAAATATCTGCCCACATTTTAGAGACAACTCATGTCATAGACCTCTGCTGCATGCAGGTACACTGATCATGTGGGGTGGCACAGATGTCACAGTACTGACAGACAAGATGCTGGTAAATGGTGGTGTATCATCTTCTGGTTTTCTGCAGTCAGCCTGGGAACAGAGAACTTTTGTTGTGACCCATGAACCCTTTTTTTTTTCCCAGCCCAGCTTGGTGCCCCCACTATACACTGGGTGGATAGGGGAGCAATTGGACTAGACCTCCTGACGAGAAACTGAAAGTCCAGGAGATTAATACTCAGCTAGTCTCTCACAAAGTGTTTCATATGGCAAACTGCATACATGCACACAAATGCAATTAAACATTATAATAAAGGTAAAAGAAATATGCTAGACGATCAAAGAGACGCTATTTTTTTAGTGTCCACCAAGTGTGAAAACAGTTATAATGTTTAAATTTTGTGCATTGGTACACTTTTCTAAAGAAGTTGCAATTACATAAACAATGACAAATATAAAGTACAAAATAGTTTTAATCATTTAGAAGTTGAATCCTGAAATAACTGGTCTGCAGGCACCACTCTTCCTCATTTGTTCCTTCAGCCCCTATGATGTCAAAACTATTAAGAAACGTAATGTTTTACGTGCCGCTGTTTGTGAGCCTCTTGCAACAACTCAAGGGAAATTACCGTAATAACCACACACTGACTGGAAAGCACAACACCTCAGCTTGCATAAAGCATTGTTT